GAGCCCAAACAATAATGGAGAAACAGTATCAAAGCTATCCTTGCAGACTCTGGCCCTTGTTATTAAGATTTTGAATCAGATTGTCAATACGCCAGCCCAGCATATCACAAAGAAGAGGACGACAACCTATTCTGCAAAGCACCTGCAGGCAGGACCCTAAACAATGGATGGAAACTTATCAAAGAGAGCTCCAACCAGAATTAAGGAGAAATTTACTGAAAGTGAGAACAATTAATAATGGAATGGCTTGCCTTCAGAAGTTGTGGGTGCACCATCACTGCAGGTTTTTAAGAAGAGATTGGACAGCCATTTATCTGGAATAGTATAGGATCTCCTGCTTGGGCAGGGGGTTGGTGGACTAAAAGACCAAGGTCCCTTCCAACTTTGCTATTCTGTATTCTGATATACTGTCCATTCTAGGCAGGCAATCAGAGATCAAGATGGCTCAGCAACACACAGAAATGCCAGTTCAAGCAGGTGTACTCAGAAACAGTCTAGGCATATAAATCAGGATTGATTACTACTGGCAGAAGATAGGACTTTCTATATTTAACATCCCCTTTGAGTGCAGCCCAGCAAGGGAGAAGCATTTTGTGGCAGGCCTGTTCATAGCTTCATAGCTAGCTCTTACTGGCACATTTTTTTCAGAATCTCTGATGATGATTTTTCCTTGAAGATCAGTACTAGTAGGAATTTGAACCCACACTGAATTCAGACTATACTGATGTTCAGGCCTTTGCCTGATGAACTTACAGCCTTGAGATATCACTTAACTAGCTCCAGAATTTAGAAACAGTCAAGTAAACTAGTGATGAAATAATACAGTATACAGGATAGAAGTATAACAGAGTGGGATTCTTATCAAGGATTCAGACTTCAGAAATTTCATGCCTTAATGGAAAATCAAGTGTTTACTTATTTGTGCAAATCTGAGATTCAAAAATGATAAGATACCAATGTAGATTGGTAATTCGAGATTCCAAACAGTACAGGTTGCAGAGTTGCTACTCTCAGATCTCACGCATCTAAGAGTGCTGTCTAGAAACCTCTGCCTGGCTTTGTACAGCATTGAAAATATTTTGAAAACTGCCTAAAAAGTAAGTTGTACTAACTATTGATGATGTTCACCATTTCTCAATCGTTTGCATTTCTAGGCTGATAGGCTTTTTGGCAGGACTCATTGGCAATGCTAATCTCTTTGGGGGATGACAAATGACATGCTGCTTGTGCATTCATGTGTTTGCTTTTAAAAGTCTGAGAAATGTGTAAGTTACTATAGTTCTGTATGTAGAATAGAATAGAATAGAATAGAATAGAATAGAATAGAATAGAATAGAATAGAAGAGTTGGAAGGGACCTTGAAGGTCTTCTAGTCCAACCCCCTGCCCAGGCCACTTCAGACAAATGGTTATCCAACATCTTCTTAAAAACTTCCATTGTTGGAGCACTCACAACTTCTGCAGGCAAGTTGTTCCACTGATTAATTGTTCTAACTGTCAGGAAATTTCTCCTTAGTTCTCTCTTTGATTAGTTTCCACCCATTGCTTCTTGTTTTATCCTCAAGTGTTTTGGAGAATAGCTTGACTCCTTCTTTGTGGCAACCCCTGAGATATTGGAACACTGCTATCATGTCTCCCGTAGTCATTCTTTTCATTAAACTATATTAAACTATATGTAATAAGCTACCATATAAAGAAATAGTCCCTATTAATATACAATAGTTTAATAGCAAGCATGTTAGCTCAGACCCACTTATACAGTGAGGACTAATTCTCCAAGTACAAAAGAGATAAATATGAATTTTTTAAAAAAAGACAAATGAAAAGGGACTGCTGAAGAGATGTAGACTGGATAGGGCACATATATCCCAAACACACTAAAAGGCAGATTTGAAGAGGTGATAAACCCACTTGACATTACTCATGTCATTATCAGAAATCTGCAAAGTTAAGGCATTCACTGAGCCGTTAAATCACCTTTGACTCTTTTCAAAGCCATTCAAAGGAACCTAATTCAGTTTAACAGTTTGAATCAATGTGGAGTTTTAATTGATCCATGTTAAAGGGGTAATTCAGTCAAATCTCCTTTGAAGTGTTATACTCCTTTGAAACTTCTTCTGTTAAAACGTAGTTGGCTAGATGTTAGCTTTTGCCGGTCCTTATAATGTATTTCCTGTACATACATCACCTTCAGTTCTAGTTATAAAACCTGTTTCATGGATTGTTTCTCAGATCTGATTCCTGCTGTCAGGACCACTCCTGCACACAGAGAATGGTTCGGCCTACAGCAAAAACAAGCATGAACAAAAAAAGAGAGAGAGAGTTTGTTTCACTGGATGTCATTGAATTAGTGCAGATACGCTTGGGGCGTCTTTCTCCAAATTGTTTCCATTCAGCTTCCTTTTTTATTTGGAACTTTTTCATTATCTGACCAGATCAGGTGAAACTGGTTTTTGTCCTTCTATCTCTTGCACATCGTTTTATCCTTCTAACTTAGAATTGTTTTTTTTCCCTCTGAGAATACAATAGACTAAAAAACTAATATGGATGTCAATTGCCCACATATGACTCACAGAGTGAGCAAAACATCAAAGGAATGAAGGGAAATCTGAATGTCTCTGTGTGTGAGAGAGTGAGAGATTGAATAGGTATGAAAGAAATCTAAAATTGCTTCAAGTTATCCCTAACCAATCTAATTAAAAATTTGCAAACAACAAATAATCTAGAAACAAGTAGTTTTTAAAGGACAGAGGCATACTCAGCTAAAATCTTCCACTTACATCAACCTGGGAGGGGAAAAATTCTGATAGCACTATCAATCTCCTATGATCCCTATGGATTAGTGCTATTCAAATGAAAATAGAAAATAACCAGACAGCTGGGAAGACAATAGTGAAAAAATGCACAGGAACTCTGTCAAATCATTTTGCACCACACAAAGTGTTTCAACAGTCCAAGGTGTTACGGGTATATTGACTTCTGTTCTGAAGAAATAATCACACTGGAGATTAGTATCCAGAGTAATAGGCTGTAGAAGCCAGGTGTGGGATCTTTTGCAGGCAAGACCAGAGTAGCAGTGCTTAGGATGAAGACATGTACACAGCACAATTAGACAGCTAGTAAGAGCTAAGTTAATCACTGTCCTGACCATGCCACCTCAGACTTTCCTCAAGGCACCCTACATTGTCAATATAGTAAATCTGGCGTCAAGAAGAAAAGAGAAAACTTTACTTCCACATCAGAACAACTGAAGAAGATTCAAAGCTGCCTCCAAGTAGGTTGGGGTTGAGATGGAGGTAATATTTGTTACTAGCATTTTTTAAAGTAATTACTTATTAATTGTATGCCACTGAGAGGCATTATGGAGTTGGGCAGCCTTATACATTTAATAATAAATAAATTATGATGACACAACCCTTAAGATGGTTAGTAAGACACCTTCAAGTAAGTGGACTTTTAGATTTTTCTAAGTCTTTTAGATAGTTTTTAGATATTTCTTACTGTGTCACATCTAAGGATAGGTAGAGGAAAAGATCCCACAACTCTTCTTAAATTTGTAAGAGGTAGAAAATAATGCACCTAGATATGGTATGTGTGTGTGTGTGTGACCATGAGCTCCGGTTATAATCATATGATTCTACTAAAGTCTACACTTGCAAATTATCAATACTATTTATTACATACCGAGAAAGCTGGCACATCAGTGTTGATTTAAAGTCCAAAATTAAATTAAATGAACCAGTTCTTCTAGCAATCATTTACATTTATGTAAAATTAGAATTAAGTTTCTTTCCCTTACTCAAAATCCTGCAAAGATATATGGTGCATAATAACAACATGTGAAAATAGAACTATGCTCTATATGAAATCCTCTTATATTCTTTAGCAAAATTGACATGAATTCCTTTTCACATTAAACTTATTCTTAAAGTGTTCAAAAAGCTAAGCTGTGCCTCTAACCAGGCCACCACTAACACCATACTCCAGATGTTCTTCAGGATAAAAATAAAGGGCCATTTGAGATCTCCACTTTCATGGAGGTGCCTTAGCTGGTGTCATAACAGATTGTTTTTTTTAAAAAAATGACCATATTAAAAGGCATCTTTGAAAAATAAATCATTTATGAATTCATCTTTTGCAAACTAGCATATTGCTATTTATTTATATAAATATCTATATAAATTTATATATTCTCTACACTGTTTATATGTTCCCTTTTATTATTTTTACAAATAATTCAAGGCAGCAAACACATCCGACACACATTCCCTCTCCTCCTATTTTCCCCACAAACACAACCTGTGAAGTGACCTGGACTGAGAGAGTAAATGGCCCAAGCAGATCACCCAGCAGCTAAGGTGGAACTAGAACACAATACCTCCTTGCTTTCTAGAACAGAGCAGTAAAGGTGGAAAGGACATTGGAAGCCTTCTAGTCTAACCACATGCTCAAGGTACGAGTCCTGAGACCTCCCAAAAAGTCTAAGTATTCTTACTCTCCCAAAATTCTATACTGCTGTGCAAACATTCCTAATGAGTCAGCCCCCATGGTACTAACTTGATCCACTGGATAAAGTCCCACTACTCTATTGCTCACTTTAGCAATAGCAATAGCACTTAGACTTATATACCGCTTCATAGTGCTCTAAGCGGTTTACAGAGTCAGCATATTGCCCTCAACAATCCAGGTCCTCATTTTACCGACCTCAGAAGGATGGAAGGCTGAGTCAACCTTGAGCCCGGTGAGATTCGATCTGCCAAACTGCTGGTAGCCGGTGATCAGCAGAAGTAGCCTGCAATACTGCATGTTAAGGATATTGTTGTTGTGTTACCAACCAGCAGAGTGTAGAGCACAGAGAAACATTGCTGAGAGCAATGAATAAGAGATGTGCAAACTGGTTTATCAAAAGTTTACTTTATAGTGAAAAAACAATCTCATAGTCTTTAAACAATCCAAGTCTTTGCCAGTTAAATCAGTCCAGTGATACAAAAATCTTCTTACCATACGAACAGTGGTTGGTTAGAATAACAAGTTCACTCTGGTAACAAACCACGATGGTAGCAGATCCATCCACCGATGATAGCACAATAGTAGCAACTCCACACACAATGGTAGCATATCATCAACTGAATATGTTACAGTACCTTTCTTAAATACATTTACAACTAGTGATTATCTAATTACAGCATGACTCAGCATTACAATGAATCAGCAGTAAAACTTTAAAGTCACACAATACATATTCATGGTAAAGTCACAGAACACATATATTGCCTGGACAACCTGTTAGGCTCAAACCATATCCTAACACTGCACTCTAACCACTGCGCCACCGTGACTCATATGACTTCCTTTTGGCTTTTTTTTTTTTCAAGAAAGAGGGACATACTTGAGTTAATATCTTCTGATCTGTACTAGGAGCACAGGGAGCCACAAAAACTCATTTTTCTCTCCCTACAGGAAGAACAGTAATATAAGTCTAGTAGGTTTTTTAATTTTTTTTTAAAAAAATAGCTATTACACACTTTTATACGGCTGCTCAACTCATACATGATGACTGTGGGTGGCTTTAAAAGCATCTCTGGGTGTGTGGAGTGTAGGGCAGAAATCAGAACCTTCTTCTCTTTCCCTTTCACAAGAACTATAGCTTTATCCATTTTTCATCTTTGTCTTCAAATTGAAAGGAAAAATAGCCTATCTAATGCAAATGAATGGAGAAGGCACCATGATGTCCAGAGTCAGTGCCCAAGGGCTCAGAACCACACTTTTCAAATTCACCACAATACAAAGTTTATTTACGCTGTGTAATTGGAAGACCAAACATGCCATGCAAACTTAATATCTGATTCCTGTCAGCAGCATTCAGTGCAGTAAACTTTTATCATCTCTTTGGATATTTCATTATAATTAAGCAGAAGAAGTTTCCTACTGTTTACAGGTGCTCAAACTCTGGCTGAATTATATTAAAATTATAGTCTGTCTCAGTTTGAGGTCAGCAGAGATTGACTTTAGGACATTCTCCTAAATCAGCCCCCATTTGTACTAATATATTTGGCCTCGTTTTTCTTTATTTCATCCATGCTGTGTGTTATATACATCCACAGTTTTAAACTCTGCAGGGATTTATTCTGCCCTCAGTCCATGGACAGAACTTCAATTAATGCTAATAGGGGCTTCATGTGCTCATTAAAGTTGTTGAATCAGCTGGAACAGAAGCCAACTTTAATTGGGACATCATTCAGTAGCATAGTGAGATTTATGTCACTATTTCTAAATTGGTTTTTATTTCTGAGAAATTGAGAAACTGGAATTAAGAAAAGTAGGATATTATGTGTTGTAACCCATTCTCCAAACAAGCTTGGTTACCATTTTTTTAAAAAACTTCCACAAGAATAGTACAGTGTAAACACGTTATTGAGAGGAACAGGACATTTCCTTGTGCTTGGGTCATGTTTGATGCAATACATATTGTTTTAAATAACACATTTTCACACCAGGAGTCGGTGGGAATATTTGCATAGCACCAGAGGATTCTGTGAGAGCTAGAAGAGCTCACTGTTGCCTTGGTGAGATGGACAGCACAGAAGTCTAGTAATAAAAAATAAAATAAATTGAAGTGGGACTTCATCCAGTAGATCAAGCTAGCAGCCTGGGGACTGAGTCATTGGATATATATCTACAACACTAGAGTCTTCTGGTAGGGACATGGTGGCTCAGTGGCTAAGACGCTGAGCTTGTCGATTGAAAGGTCGGCAGTTCAGGGTTCAAATCCCTAGTGCCACATAATGGGGTGAGCTCCTGTTACTTGTCCCATCTCCTGCCAACCCAGTAGTTTGAAAACACGTAAAAAATGCAAGTAGAAAAATAGGGACCACCTTTGGTGGGAAGGTAACAGCATTCCATGCACTTTTGGCATTTAGTCATGCCGGCCACAGGACCATGGAGATGTCTTCAGACAGTGCTGGCTCTTCAGCTTTGAAACGGAGATGAGCACCACCCCCTAGAGTTGGGAACGACTAGCACATATGTGTGAGGGGAACCTTTACCTTTACCTAGAGTCTTCTGGTAGAGAAAAGAGGAGTTCACCATGAGCTACAAAATTGAGGCTTAGTTCAGTGACTCAAGGTATAATCTGTGGACTGTGTTATTGGGACTATTTATTTAACACAGAGGATTTTGGGAAAGTGAGAAGGATAAGATATAAGACATCCTGCCTTGGGCAGGGTATTGGACTAGAAGAACTCACGGTCTCTTCCAGCTCTATGACTCTTTTCTGTTCTTCTTTTATCCTTTATAGGTGGATTCTAACTACAATATTTTAGAATTGTGAATGTCCATTGTGGTTCAACAATGGATACATGTGTACATGTGCATATGTTTGCAAATATTCATATTTGAATCTTTCTAGTTTCTTTCTAACTCAGAGCTGGTGATGGTGAGAAGTGCTTCAAATCTTCTCAATCTGACTGTTACATTTCTTGTTCTTTGTCAAGGACTTCAGGAGTCCTTCAGGCAGTAGAGAAAATTCTGTCTATTGAAAGGGATTAGCAGCTGCTGTTTTTTTTCAACAATATAGATGATTTCTTAGTTTGGTCCCAAATTTCTCCCACATCAAATCCTTGAAGTCCAGACAAGGAAATTGATGTTTATTTCAAGAAAATTTCCATCAATTTGGCTATAATCTGTTTTAGACTTAGAACAAAAGAAGTCCAATTTCCAACACTGAGTTTAATGAAGTCATGGAGAAAAACATTCTTTTCAATAAAGTGTGCTGACTGTTTAGTGAGCTCTCTAAGTACTGAAATGTAAAACCTGTCAATTCATCTAGTTATTGTAATGGCAGAAGGAATGATCTTGAGGAGCACAAGGAACAACCCAACCAATTCTGAGATAAAGGAAATCTTAGTATGGGCCAAAATTATGACCTGTGAAAGCATCTCAGCCTAGTTCTTATGAAGCAAGGGCATTTTATAAAGTTCTTCCTAGTTTTTATGAGGATACAGTGAGGGAGGATTGTAGTGCATTCAGACTTTCAAGATTCTGTTACTATAACCTTGTAATAAAAGTAGTATTAATATGCATGAATTTGGTGTCCAAGTCTGGTCTTCCTTGAAGAACTGATGTCAATCTACTTGATTTCTAAATTACCAGTAACTAAAGTCTAGATACATTTTACAGTTACAGAAACTTTTATATTGTCAAGTATTAGTTATAAGAATTTATTTCATAATACTTTCTATTATCTGAAAAGAAACCAGAGATTTCATCATATGTTCTACCATCACTATGGTTAAAGCTTAATGTGCCAAATCTCTTTCACATTCTGAGTGCTTCTGTAATTAACATATGATTTGATGAATACTGAGCTGTAAATTAGTGAGAAATACTCCATGATTAGCTCAAAACATAACAAAAAAGTTAATTATGTAACACTTTTGTGATTTATTCATATACAGCTGCATTAGTATGCAACCACTTTGCTAATAAAATTCAGTGGGATCTGTGAAAGAGCTCATTAAACTTTGGATGTTATCTTACGGGAAGGTCTAACCTAACAATTTATTAAATGAGGACAATATTCATTTATAGTGTAGACGGCCCTTTTTGATGCTAACAACTGGTAATAGTCAGGCATTCATAATGTGTCACATCATTTGAATTGCTCATTCTGATAATTTTAAATTGTGATTTCTTCAAACAATTTCAAATAATGTTTTACTAAGATTGGATAAAAACTGCTTGTGGATGGAGAAATTTAGTGTTTTTCTCCTCTATCAATTTGCATTAAATGTGATAAAAATGTTTCAAAGAAACAAATGTGATAGAAATTGTTTCAAAGAAGAAGAAAAAATGAGGAAGTTTTTCTGGATCAGATATGTAGTTTGGCATTTACCCTAATTGCTAACATAATTAGTATCTTTCTAATAGCATAAATATGTAAATGACTTGACTTTTATTGTCTGATCATCTCTCTGATGTTTTATGCCTGCTTAACAGTTAACATACCAGTTAAAACTCAAGAGAGGATTCCAAGAGAAACCCAAAGTTGATCTTCCAAAAGGCAACTGGACTTCCCTTCCCTTCCCTTCCCTTCAAAAAATCCAGTAGCTCTTTGGAAAAGCATCTTTGGGACAATCAACCTGAATGATTGAGAATCTCTATAGACATTCCAAGAGAAAGCTCTCTTTCGTTCATCTTGAGATATGATTCTCAATGTATATACTTATTACACACACACACACATACACACAAAATTGGCTTCTTATGTACCAGCACTGGATGCAGAAAATATAGTAAAATCTTCATTGTCTTCCCAAGAGCAACCAAAGAAACAATAGAAATTGACAAATTAAATCATGCCACATTTAATCTAGTTACATTTGGCAATGACTGAGACTCAAATAAGATAATAAAATATGAGCGAAACCTTATGGAACTATATAGATTTTCTAGTCCATGGAATACCAGTTCTTTAGAATTTTATAATGCCTTGAACTAGTTCTCCAATAAATTCAGTCATTGCAACTAAAATATAGTCCCTGTGTCTATGGAGATTCTCAGTCATCCAGGTCATGGTTGTCCCAAAGGTGCTTTTTTCAAGAGACAACTGGACTTTCCATTTTTTCTTTGAAGATGTTCACTTCTCATCCAAGAAGCTTCTTCAGCTCTGATGGGAATGGAAGAATTTATACTCCTTGCAGACAGCTAGACATTTGCATTCTTTAAGTGGATCATTAAGGTCACCTGGAGGTTTATCTGTGTCATCAGGGTCATCTGAGTGGTGCAAATTGGTGTGGAGCCTTCTTGGAACTGTTGAAATAGTCCCTGTGGTACACACAAGATTGACCCAAATACTATCTATTGCTATATAGTTTAACTGAATGTGTGTTTTTATATATAGGCATATACAGATACAGTCCTCAGTTTATGACCACAATTGGGATCAGAACTTCTATTTTTAAAGAATGTGAAGAGTTGTGCCTGATTTTATAAGCTTTTTCGCCATGATCATTAAGCAAATTTGGTTTTTCCTATTGACATTGCTTATCAGAAGTCTCTTGGAAAAATCGCAAATGGCGATCATGTGACCCCAGGACAGTGTCACTATGGTAAATACATCCTGATTGCCAAACACCCAAATTTGATCATTTAACCGTGGGGATACTGCGACAGTCATAAGTGAGTGTGAGGACCAGTTGTAAGTCATTTTTTCAGCACTGTCATAATTTCAATAGTTCTGGCAGTGGGATTGGAAGTAGGGTTTTCCAGGCTGATGGTCTTTGTGGAGATAAAGCTACTTCCCTGTGGACGGGGTTATAGGTAGATCAGGGTTTCATGGAAACCATGACTTCCAGGGCCCAAGTCAGCCATGGCCCAACTAGGAAAAATAGTTATATGTCAAGTTTGGTGCTCTTGTTGTGATCTGGAATTGGATCAGTGGTTCAGCCAGTTCTATCCGGTTTGGGCAAACTGGTAGTGGCGGCTGCAGGAGGCTCTGCCCACCCGCCCGGACATCATCATGTCCTATTTTTGATGATCTGTGCATGCATGGTAGGGCCTGTGCATGCACGGAGGTGGCGCGTGCACTCACATTTGTGAACCGGTAGTGAAGTTAAGTGAATGC